GTTATAGTGTTGTTGTTTTTTTAAATTATTTATTTACAGCAAAGATCAGCTGAGAGAGAGTCAATAATCAGTAGATAACTTTATCAAACATTGGGTGTGACTCAGCGTGTGTTTGCTAAAGGTGTATTGTCTGCAGCAGCCGGCTGTTCGTAGAGTCCGTTACATTTTCCTCCATTCAATAAACGTTAACCTTCAGGTGGCTTGAAAGCCGACATTTTAAGCAGATCCCCAAATCTGCTGAAATCATTAAAAGCCAAATAATTCAATACTATTATTCATAGTTTACAACTATAAATAGGCATGTAGATGACACACAGCTTCTAATGATTCTATCAAATCTAAAACACTATAAGATACTAAAATTGTTTATCAAAAGCTGCATAACAATTTCCTCTTTTCACCTCAGTTTTTGGCAAAACAGGATGATAGCAATTAAATATTTGGTGTTTGGTTAGTCTCAAAGCAATCCTGTATTGTTGAATCATTAATCCGCTGCGATAATTCACTATGTGTATTCAGCTTGTTAAAACATATAGACATTTGTGAAAATATTTCTACCTCCCTGAATGGGTCATGAATTCCACCTAGCTGCTGCTACTGAGGAGTAAAATATTTAAAAGCTAATTCTGAAGAAAAGTATGGAATAAATGCAGGGCCGTAACCAGGATTTTTGATATACTGAGGTCAAATATTGCAATAAATGTTACTTGACAAAAAACATCCTAATATAGTGACTTTTTAAATATATATTTTGGAAACGTGAATAAAGAGAGTTAAATCATAAGCCTGATCAAGGAGGTGAATATGAACATGTTTATTATAACAGTTCCAAAACTCACAAAATTAAGAGTATTTGAGTGAGTGTTATTATTATTCTTATCATCATCATTATATTACAGTATTATCATTGTTATTAATATTGAATTATTATTACTGCTATTATTATTGTCACCATCATCAACATGCATGTGCATGGCCCACTAAATGTATCAAATGACTTGGAATAATATGATTGTGGACTTCATGAAGAATTCATGCTGATCTTCACACCAAAGTCGGAACAATTTTCAAAATATAGTTGGACATTTCTCTGAATTAAAAAAAATAATAGTAATAAAAACATTTCAAAAAGAGAAAATGCCGAGGACATGACCTCGATGTTCTCAATGCTGGTTACAGGGCTGAATAAATGTGAGATTTGATCTCAAAATTGTGGTGAATATATACTCTACCTAGATTACCCGTTTGCCATATTTTAGGAATGAAAATTAACCATTATTTGAAATTATCATATTAAATATTATATTAATATTTAATTATATATATATATATATATATATATATATATATATACATAGCATAAGCATAAAGAGAAAAGAGAGAAAAATTTAGGATTCAATAACTATATTTCATATGAACTTTTCATGCCAAATTTGTTCAGTTAAAAAAGTGCTACTCAGTGAATATTTTAATGCTAATCTATTGGCTAAAACTAACTATAGGAACTTATATAGCTATAGATCTAAGACTACTAATGTCTTTCTGTTAAATAAATAGCAATTAAAGCCAATTTAAAGAGAGAGCAAATGTGCTGCTTGGGTTCTAAGTTGAAGAACAAAATCAGATTCCTTCCATATAGAATCCTGCTTTCATGAAATAAAAACATGGATAAGGAATTAAGTTATTAAATGCATAATTCATATTACATTTGCAATATTTGGTCATATTTTGATTTGGCCAGACTCCTTTGGAAATATATTTTTTTAAAATTCCAAAAACCCCATATCGGGCTTCAATCCTGTTATTTAGTTTTGCTTTTATGCAATTAATTAGATAACTAAATAACGACACCAAAACTTAGTAAATACAGTTTGGAAAGTAATAGTTTTAGCAAAGGCTTCTGGCTCTTTTAGGCCGCCAAAAATGCTTGGTCTCAAAAGATTAAGCTCTTAGTATTAAATGTGTTGCCAAAATCTAAGGTCTTATGAATGCTATTGTTAACGGATACATTGTATGTGAAATTTAGATGCCATATTATGTTATCCTTTTGTTAAAACACTCATTTATAACATAAAACTTCCTTGTAGAGAGTGATAGAGATTTAACTTAGTGCAAATCAAAATAATAATCATCTGTATTTTTCATCACAATTTAGTAAACTATCATGATATATGTACTCTGAATTCCAGCATCCTAATGGGAGGCGTGAACTCTGACTGTGCAGCGCCTGGGGAGCTTCCTGGAGCTAAGGGTCTCACTTTGGGACCCACAGCAGCAGCCTGGGGAATTTGAACCTGAGAACTTCCAGCTTTCCCAGGACACACTCCCTGCACTAACCACAAGGAAACTACTGTCAAAATATATCAAAACTTTAAGAGAAATACAATTAACCCATCATACAAACACTTGAAGAGTAGGTGTATCGCATAAAGAGACTGAATGTAGAATAACCTGTTCAACAGGCTATTGCTGTCTTATCCAGGAAGGCTAATTTAAGTTTTCCTTTATTGTTTTGAGTAACAGTTTCTTTAAAAAACTTAAATCTGACAGAATTTAACTATTCCCAAACATAACATTAAAAAGAAAAGGGGAGGAGGGGTTGGGGCACAGCTTTCATCTTAATGTCAAGAATAACTGTATGCTTGTTGCAACGTTAAAGACCACTGTTACGAAACTAAAATCCCATCAGCTGTATTTAATCTCAGAGGAGGGCCAGAGCACACTGATGATCCAACAGAAACAGGCCCCGACACATGTTTCTGGATTATGAGATAAAAATAAAACTCCAAAATACACAAAATCATCATGTGGAAAAATAATCCTATCTGATGGCATCTTGTGGCTCATAATAAAAGTATTCAGCACACCTACTCTATTTCTCCCTTGGGTAATTATCATACCTCTGTGTGTGTGTGTGTGTGTGTGTGTGTGTGTGTGTGTGTGTGTGTGTGTGTGTTCATTTGGACTGCGGTGTCCTTTGTTTTGTTTTTTTTTTCGTGCGTGCACGCCAACGCACTCCAGGCAGGTACATCAAGTAACGGCACATACCTGAAACTGTAGCAGAGACCGTTGCTGGGTTTTGTCAGGGTGTTGACGATGTGTCATAATGCACAGGTGCTCCAGGTTTATTTTTAGTCTATAAGTCTTAAAACTAAATTAAATAAAAGGGTCTTCTACCACTAAGGGATTTAATTGGCAGTCATCCTTTGTGAAAAAAAGTAAAATCAAGTTTTGCAGACATTGACATGGAAATATTTAACAAATATATGGTAGTGAGTGAAGATGTGGGTGATATGGCTCTTGCAACACGTTATTTAAAAAAACAAGTGGATATGTCCCGTTCATTTTCTGGTTTCAAGCTTGAAACCTAAAGATTTAAAGGTTGGTATTTTATACTGAACTGCTTTTTGCTTTATAGTTTACAGTTTTAAAAAAAAAAGAAAAACTCTACTCCACAACAAATAAAATATCCATCTAAAACAGAGCGACAATTTTCTATTATACGTGGGGTAAGGATTGGGTTCATCCCTTTTTATTCCCTACCCCTAAATTAAATTAAATTAAATTAAATGCATTCATAAAGTTACAATAGATGAATAGCATTCACCTGTGAATTAGCGAACAACTGTGAAGAAACATTATTTTAAGCGTTTAAGATCTCAGACAACTGTCACTGCAGAGATCCATATTTCAGGCTGGGCAACCTGGGGACAGATTTCTACATCCTCACAGTCCACAAATTCAACCTTTATTGGCGAGTGTTTAGAAGAACAAGATGTGCAATGGTAGTTTTCCTACAAGCCATGTCAGAGTTTAAAGCAAACATGTAGAAGATGGGGCTCCAATCAGATAAGAAAGCTCTGAACACAACATTCTGATGGGGAAACACAGTGGAAGCAGCATAATGCTGTGGGGAAGCAAAAAAACAACAAAAACAACAAAAACGGAGCAGCTGATCAGAGTTGATTGAAAGATGGAGAATATATAGTGCTAATTTAAGGCATCGGTGGAGTTAAAAATCAGCTTTCCTGCTGTTCATCCCAGTTCAAACAGCCAGGAGGATGTAGAAGTCAATGATTAAAAGTTAACGGGAGAGGAGAGGAAGACGCAGGCAAACAGTGAAGAAGGAGCGGGGGAAGGGTCAGAGAGTGCTTTAGGGTGTAGTCCGTTACTTGTTATCTGATACCGGCGACCTGTTACAATAAAAACTCCGCCGACGGCAACAATGGGGATTGTTCTCAAGAAAAAAAAAAAAGGAGGGGTGGTGTTCCCCAATAATCAGATCAGATAGTCAGGGAAAGCTGAGGGTAAACATAAGGATTTGAAATCCGCATCACTGTGTGTCTTAATTTGGGGGATGGGTTCTGTTTATTCTAAAGAATCCGAACATAAAGAAAAGAGCGACTTGTTTTGATTGAGGTGCGTTCAGGGAGCGGGCCTTCATGTGGACTTTTATAAGTCGGAGCGATTGAACAAGGAAGGAGGAGTGCAATCAGGGGTTGAAGGTCGATGGAAAGCAACGGGCTCTTTCTGATTAAAGAAAGGCCCGCAGTTAAAGACGTCAGAACTATATTTAGACATTGCATAGATATTTATATAGAGTGAAATCTAATCAAATACTTTTTTTTATTTTATTTAGGTTATGTTAAATGAATCACTTTTTTCATTTAATTTTATTTTACGCAAAAAAAAAACAAAAGAAAGAAAACATGTTGCAGTGATGAAGTGATAGGCTCCCAGGGGCCCCATCGGGTTTCCCGTTATTCGCAAACTCTAAGGTGGCCCCGTTACATCCACACACCGGACCCCCTCCCTCTACCTCCACCTGCAACACCGACAACAGCTTTCCTGGCCTGATTCCAATCCCCGCGTAAATAACGCTCCAATCTGTGCGTAAAGGGCACCGAAACCAAGACGCTGTGACCCCCTTACAGTCTTAGTTAGTGTCCAGTTTCCCCCTAAACACCAAACATGGCTCATTACTGCAGCAGTGGACTCACCTGGGATGTAAACGTCTCCTCTCTCATGGTCGGGCAGCTCACTCCAGTTCCGCTTTCCCGGCGAAACGTTCGCCTTTTTTACCAAAAAAGCCCGCGGCATGTTCCTCAAAATCAACCAGTCCTCTTCTTAAATCTTAAATATAATTATATATATATATTTATTTTTGCTTTTCAAGTAAAAAAAAAAAAAAAAAAACCGACGTCAAACCAGGTAACGGCTGAAAAGCAGGAAGCAGAGGGGAAAAAAGTGGCAAGGGTCGATCCTCTTCTTCTCTCCTCCTTGCGTTTTTTCTTCTTGTTTCGTAAGGTTTATCTTTAAATATTTCTTTTATAAAAAAATCCGTCTCAAAGTGAGGCTTTCAGTTTTGAAGAGCGAAAGGAAGCGAGTGAACAGGTGAGTCTGCTCAGGTGAGGCAGGTAAAAGCAGAGCGGACTCAGCAGCGCCTTCAAATAACGGGAGAGCGAGTGAAAAAAAAAACGGTGGATATCCCTGATCACTCACACACACACACACATAGAGAGAGGGAGTCAAAGCCGACAGAGGTGGGTCAAACAGCAGCTCAGGTACTCATTTAAAAAAAAAAAAAAGCAGGAAACATGCGCCAGCGCGCATGCGCTGCAGAAATAACGGTGACAGGCTGCAGGGAGCGAGGGTTAGGCCGCACTATACCTGCTGAACCGGTTTACCCCTCCTCTCCCTGTTTCTCTCTTTCTTTCTTTTTCGCTCCCTACCTATTCTCCATTCCCCTTCAAGGTGGGGGAGCCGTGAGAAAGAGGAGAAAAGGTGAAGGAAAGATAAGGAGATGGATTCACAATAAAAGGTGATTTCAGCCAGATGAATAAAAGTCTGAAACAGAAAGATGACATCCATGATGTCAGACAGACAGAAGAGTTTGGATCTAATAGGTAAAGAAATATATCAAAATGATATATTTCCCCCCCTGCAGCAATGATGATTTCTAATATGGGTTAAAAAAAAGAAAAAAAAAAACTTTTCCAGATTGACTAGAGCTCAAAGCATGCCATTTAAAAAAAAAATAAAAAATAAAATAAAAAAATAAAAACAATCCCCTAACTGCACAAGATGGAGCAGAAAGAACCACTAACATACCGGTACATGGGAATGAGCTCTTAAACTGCGTTAGAACAATTCTACAGACTAAAAAAAGTAGGAGGAAGAATAAATCAAGGTTTTAACTATAATGAAATGAATACAAAACACTAAAACATGCTGAGTATGCTTAATTTGGATTTAGCACATTCTACTTCTCTATTTTTTTCATTTTGCTCCATAATATTCTGCAACAAAACTCTAAAGTCTCTGCTGAAAGGATTAATTTTTACAGTTGGACTGTTTATTAATCAGGTGACTTCTGAAGGTAGCTGGTTGCACTATAACGTATTTAGGAGTATGAAAGTATGGGGCGGGTAGACAAAAATTCACCTTAATAAAACTTGAATTTTCAATAAAGTTTAATGTTATAAAATTACACATTAAAAAAAGTTAAAATATATATAAAAACTATTGTAGGACAGGTTTCTTCATATTATTCCATAATAAACATATCCACCATAAAGAGTAAAGGCAAAATAACTGTTACTTTGAACTCCAGATGGCTGGCTCTTAAATATCTTATCAGAATAGAATGTAAAGTACATTTTTGAGTTAAAGAAAGAAGCAAATTTTTGACTTGAATTTATGATTTAAGATCCTGGAAAGATCCATCCTACAAAATAGAAACTTAAATTGTTATTCAGGCCTCAGCTAATCATTTTCAGTTATTAAACAAGTAGAGGTACTTGAAGGAGAGAGTTTAAGTCTTACATTTGAGCCACTGCTGGTGAAATATGAGCAGACCTGCAGTGTGCAACATTTTTTTTTCCTCCAATATTTAAATATCCCATCATAAAGGGCTCTCTGTGCATCTCCGTCTGGTATTTGAATATTTGTGCCAATGGCTCTTGTACCGTAAGTATTGTAGGGAGTGTATAAAACCCTGGCGTGTTGTCTAGTTATTAAATGCACAAATAAAACATGAGTTGCATTTGATGTTTATTTGTAACTTATAACATCCAGCTTTTTGATGAATGCACACATGGATTTTCCATTTGTAAAAATGTCCACTTTTGTATATTTGAAAATGTAGGGCCTTTAGATCAGACTGTTTTAAAACGTGATTCTCAGGAATTAAACTCAAGGTCTGTGTCGGATATAAATTTAAATGATGATTTTATGCTACAGATTTATTTATTCATTTTGGAAAGGAGGTTGTTTATAAATTAGGACTGATTTAAGTTTATAAATTAGAAATTAAATGTTCTGATATCACTACATTTCTGTATAATTTTCTGAGTAATTTTGAAGAACCTTGTAACTTTCAGAAACCAGCAGATAGATTGAGGAGTAGAACCGCCTGCTACAGTTTCTAGACCACCTGTGAATAACTTCAACATAAAAATGCCACAAAAAAAGGAAGGGCCGTTATTTTGATTATTATTTCTTATTCAAAAACAAACCAAACAGAACAAAATTCAGTCCTAATGGCTGTTTAAAAATTTCCAAAAGCATCAGAATGCTGAAATCACATTTATGTGAGTGCATTTTAATTACTTGATGATTAAACAAACAGATAAATGAAATGATCATGAAATTATTCAATACAGATTTAAATTAAGTGAGAAATAGGTGTTAGTTATTGGTGATGCAATCATGTGACAAGCAGCTGGTTGCTCATCTTCACCTCATATCAGTAACTTATCAATGTCTTCAAACTCCAACTCCATACAGTTTTCACACTGTTAAAAAAAGGAAGCTTAAAGTTTCGGACTTTAACTTAATCATCAAGGTTTTTTTGTTTTAGTTTTGCCAAACTTTGAATTGTAGGTTTTCATAACTTGAAATGCTGATTTTTCCCCCCAACTCATGTCAAAGTAGTGATGACTTTGAAAATATAATGAATAAAATAGCAACCTTAAACTTAGGTAAATGTTACACTTACAATTTACATCTCATTGTCGCTCAGTGTGGAAATTTGTCATTTAGATTTCAACGTAACAATTCCTTGTTTAAGGAGCAACAACAGTCTGAGTTTCAACCCCCCCCCGTTTTTTTGCTACACAATCCAAAAGCTCTGCTAGCTCACCAATAGATTCCTTCATTGTAGTTCCAATCCCTGGTCATTAAAGGTTTTATTGTCATGATGCACAACAAGCAGAGTTTTTTTGATTGGCAGCATCTCTTTAGCACTATTTGTATTGTTTAAATTCAACATTAAAAGAACATGGATCCTCTAGCTCAAAAGCCAACTCCAAAAGTTGGTTTTCCCACAATTTACAACTAAAAAAACAAAAGTTAGCTGATATTTCACCTTATGAAATAAACAACAATTTAAAGATATAAGAACTGGCAACTCACTCGATAAATTATTGATTACAACTATCTTGGTCTGAACTTACTTAAATTACTATCCCTATATTTAATACTTTACACATCTGAAAACAGTATTTCATACTTTCGTACTGGTATTTTCCTTAAAATAGGAAATCATGAGTAATGTCTTGCAACATCAGAGTGAATACTCTAGGGATGTGTCCGAATGTCACCCTAACCACTATATAGGGAACTATATAGGGCACTTTATAGTGGCTACGCCATTTAGCTGAGTGTCTGAATGTCTAGTGTATGAAAAAGTAGTGGACTCGAAATTTACCATAATGCACCTTGAAAAATACATGGGCTCTGTTCGAAAACCTAGGACGCATCCTCCAAGGACGCGGTCTACCTAGACTGGATCCTTCGAAGTCCTTGAAAATAAGGAGACCGGAAGAGTTTAGGCTGTGAATTCGACCAGGTCTACCCTTCGGCGGGTTTTACCGCCGTATGCTCTGTTGCTTAGCAACCGTAAACGTTGGTACACAAAGCAGCAAAACAATGAATACAGAAGTTTTCAAAACTGTTTATTTAATTCATTTTTACTGTGAAGTGAACTAAGACTACACTCACA